GTACAAATTATATAGAGAAAATTTAGTCCCAAATTGTTATTACATCATCTGATCATCCTAGCATGATTGCTAAAACAATCTGAAATGGAATGATTACTCAGACCCATTTGCCCTAGTAAATAAATAAATTACTTCATCCCAGAAACCGTGCCCCATCTTTTTACATTATGAGTACCAGACTCGCTAAAAACTTAAAGATCAACACAAAATTGCAGAAAAATTAGAAGTACAGGGAGAATAAATAAGTAATTCAACCTATAAAGAGACCAAGATGGAATATGCATTCCAAACTAAAACTGTGTCCAAGCCCAGATATTAAAGGTTAGTTGCTGATATAAGAATTAGGAGAAGGCTTTGTAGCTAAAAAATGCATTACCTGTTGAAGTAGCACACCAATGGCGGTGCATTGACAAGAAAAAAATGTGTGAGCTTCCGAGAGAGAGGGGAAGGAGGAGGGTGTGAACTGATATACAAGGCTAATATGAACGGGAAAAATTTGTGAAAATTAAATTACTGCAATTAAAGAGAAACGGACGGAGAAGAGAAAGAGAGAAAAAGAGTAATTGCTGAGAATATGAAATAAATTGGGTAGAGGTGATGATTTACGTTTAGTTCTTCGCCGATTTGTGAATAAGGGAAAGAGAGAGGAAGAGAGAGAGGCTAACACCTGGAGGAAAATAGGCAAAGAGAAAGAAATGATGACAATTAGGTTTAGTGTGGCAGAAAGGATAAGGATGTAATAATTATATTGTTGGAGGACAAAAGTGGAAATGACATTTTTTTTAGATATGCTGGTATTTTGATGTAGTATAGATGTACATATAACAAAATTTAATGACAGCTCTCTCCCTTAGTAAACTCTTAATTACCTAGAAAGTCGACGGTCCCACTGTAAACAGAGGCAAGAAACGGCATAAAGAGTGGTAGTGAGTTACTTTTCTAGCTATCCGATTGATTCCGACGTGTCGTAGATGTTTCCTGGCACTCAAAAGAGGGGTTAGAAGGGTGCCGAAGTGTTTTCGGCGTATCCTCTTCGACGCTAAAATCAATTTGTGAGAGAGGTTTATTTATATTTTCATGGGGGTCATCATTGCTGTCAGGTGAGCCTCTCTAGGAAGAGATCCCCATTGGCTCATCTGGGAGGCTGTAGGTGGTGGTGTTTAGTCCTGGGGTAGGGTGCTTTCTATCTTGCGTGGAAGGTCTATTAGCATTAAATGCTCAAGCTCCTGAGCACTTTGTGGTCTTCCTCCGAGGCTTTCTGGGCAACAAACACGTCTCATCTTCCTAAGGTATCACTAAATGCTATTTTGTGGTGGTTGCGCACAGGTAGGTGCATTCTCGTCCATTTGGCCCCAATTCTGTACCTCGTGCCACTTGTTTAGTNAAGGCTTTCTGGGCAACAAACACGTCTCATCTTCCTAAGGTATCACTAAATGCTATTTTGTGGTGGTTGCGCACAAGTAGGTGCATTCTCGTCCATTTGGCCCCAATTCTGTACCTCGTGCCACTTGTTTAGTTCTCTTTGATCGCAGGTCTTGTCATTTCTGTCATTCTGACTTCTTTGGGAAAACAAGTCAATGATTATTGCTCAACTCTGACTTTAGCTGGCTTTAACTGTCAGTTATCTGTCTTGGAGCCAAGGTGACTTGTCTGAAGACGGGCATCAAGATCTCATCATGCCGAGGAAACATGTCAAAATTCGAGTGCTCCGAGGGACCAAATGTCGAGGACACATGTCATCTAGCACTTCCTGGTGTCCTTGGTGCCTAGGACACGTGTCAGCATCTGACCAACAGAAGTGTCCTTGGTGTCGAGAACACGAGTCAGCATCTGATTAATGGAAGTGTCATCGGTGCTGAGGACACGTGTCATCTCCTTGTTGATTCTTAGAAACATCCCATTAACTGTCCCCAGCCCTTGATCTTTGTACAACATGGGTGATGTGGCGCTAGAAGATGAAAGGGCTCAACCCCTTCATTATTGAGCAACCGCTTTCCTTCCTTCTGAGATCGTGCCCCATTTAATGTGCCTTCTTTATGTCTTGTCCGCAATGATGGGGTCAGAGGTCCCTATTTAAATAGGGCTCATGCCTCTTTCTTCTAGTTTATGTAACTTTTAGACGTCTAAAGCTATTCCACCGGAGTTTCCATTGGATAATCATTGTTTCGCCTGAACTAACTGTCATTTCCTTTAGAAATTGTTGAAGAAGCAAGCTACCAACCTCTGTATCTGCACCTCTAATTTTGGTGAGTACACTGTCCCATTCTTTCTCTCTTTTTTCTTCTTCCTCACTTTTTTTCCTTCTCTGGTAGCCATCCCCCCTTCTCTTTTCCATTCCAGTGTTGTTCTTTGTTTCCTCGAGTCCCTAGTAGTGGTCCCTAGGTCTTCCATACCCAAAAAATACCTTCTATGTTTCCCTTTTTTCTTTCTATGAACTTGCCAAGACGTCGTTGTACTGTCGCCAAGGTCGAAAAGACTGGACCCTTAGGTTGAGGAACTACACAGTCAAAGATCGTCAGCAAATAACAAACTTCAAAACCCACTATTCCATCCCCAGTAACATCGCCGTAAATGAGTTCATCCCTAGATTCCATCACTCCAAGGATGCCATGCCATTTTACATGAAATCCATCATAGAAGGTGGGATTAGATTCCTCCTCCATCCACTCCTCCTCTGTTTCTTGCCTCAATTCCATCTCTTATTGGGGGTCGTGTTGCGTCAACACATTTAGGATCATCATGGGGGTGGTGGTCTTGAATGAACGCCTCAGGGTCAACCTTGGCTTGGAGGACATCCTCTTTTGCTACTCCTTGCTGAGGGTAATGCCCCAGTAAAACTTCTACCTGAAAGCCTGAGATCCCTTCATGTACCTTGTGACACACCTCACAGACTCGGACAAGGGGTACAAGGATGACCTGTTGGTCTTTCGTGGTGAATGGGAGAGGGGGTTGGCCTTGAGTATGACGGCTTGTGGTGCTTAAACATTGGCAAACGACAAGTATGTGGGCTTCTCCCTCTTTCTCCTCTACTTTCCATGCCTTGATGAATTATTTGTTTATGTTCTCTTTTTTTTTGTGCAAGAGTTTCCAACGCCGAGTCCGTTCCACTTCCTCAGCATCTAGTCAACCTTGCCAACATCATCACTGTCTCGAGATACCTAGGCAATAGATTAGCCCGAGCTGCCTACGTATTCCTAGACTACAAGCACAAGAAGTACTTGTAGACTCTTCAGTCGTTCGATCCTTCAAGGTGGTCCAGGCTATCTGGTGAAAATTTAGAGGAGGATCCTGACAGGGCCATTGAGGCCGAGGTAGAGGTTGTTATTGAGGAAGACATCGCCGAAGAGGTGGTAGAAATCAGGAATCCCTCCACCACCATCCACGCCAAAACAAGTACATTCGGGAGAGAGGATTGGCTAGACTTCAAAGTGCTTCAACACTTAGATGAAGATGACGCGTTTGAAGTTGTCATGTTGAATCAACCCCGCATCGACCTCAACCTCCTCAAACAAAGAGTAGCCCTCACCATCGAACGGGGTCAAGGGTTTAGCTCTGACATCCCCCCTTCACCACAAGGAAGGACTCCTCTTCCCCCTACTCCTCCTCCTCATTTTCCTACCCCGGTGCCGCTAAGATCGACATGTCGCAGCCGAGGTCACGCTAGGGATCCTCAACCTAAAGAGGAGATGAGGTTCAAGCAAAGGCATGATGGCGTCGGCCGTGGCAAGGGCACTTCCAATCTGCCTCTGACATCAGTGCCTCCAACAACAACTCCAACTCCTCCATCGAGTAACCGACTCCATAGTTGTTTCCCCCCATGTCGCCTATGTTGTGAGCAAGGCGATTCATTTTGACATTAACATGGAGTGGCATCGGGGGCGAACGAGCAACAACCTCTTCCACTCCATTATCCAAAACTCGCTGGTGGTAAGGTTTTTTCCGCTTAACAATTTTTTCTTTGTTTTGTTTTTTTACTCACCCCTTCGTCGGTGTAACCTTTTTTTCTTCTTTGCTTAACAGACAACCCATCAGATCACTATTCTTAGCGAACGCTTCCACCACCATTAGGAGAAGGTCCAAGAGTGTTAAAAGCTCCAAGCTGACCTAGTGAAGGCTAACGAAGCGCTTTCCTTTGCGAAGGAAGAGGTAACTACCTAAGACAAGACCCTGTCCACCTAGGGAGCCTAGATCACCGAGTTTCTCCAATAGAGTGAGATAACCAAAAGTGATGCTGACAAAATAAGGATCGTACTCAACAACACTGAGAGGAGGATCAAGGAGACAACCAAGCAATTCTCAGCATCTAAGGCCAGGGTGACGGAGTTGGAGCAGACTTGTTCTGCTTTAACTCAGGAGCTAGACAAAGTCAGGGCTGAGCTAGAGGCCAATAGGCAGTCCCAACAAGAGATTGTCAACCAGTACGCCGATGACATCTTGTATACCTTCTAGGAGAACAAGAAAGAATATTTCAAGGTAGCATAGGATGAAGCTCTGAAGGCCGCGTGTGTCCTTGTTGAATCCCCTCTATTTCAGGAGCATGCATACGTTCCTTTTCAAGGAGATGGTGCAAGCTTCGATAAAGGCTGCAGTTGAAGGTGCCAAAAAAGCACAAGTGTTGAGTTCGGCACCAACTGTAGAGACTGTGGCCTCGTCCCCTACCGACATTTTTCCTGCCCCTACTCCCACTCTTGAGTCTGCATGGGCTCCAGCGTCTGTCCCTCTTACTGTGCCTTAGGCTGATACTCCTACCGATAACTCCTTTTCCACCAGCATTGATGAACTGTTTGGAGGTATCAGTGGCGAGGTGATGGGCCTTCTCCTAGGCCCCAAACTTAGGCATCTTTTGTTTTTCTCCTCATAATTCTTCTTTCTTTGTAATTTTTGTGGCCTGAGGAATGCAAAGCCCTCTTTTTTTTTTTAATGAAAAATGACTTTGTTCCATATGTATGCATTCCTTCCTTCCACTTTGTTTTTTTTTTCTTTTAAGTGTTTTCCCTTAGAGGTCGAGGTCATGAGATCCGAGATAATGTAACTCCCCCTTCTCGGCCTTGGTTCCCCCTCGAGGGAAACTTCTCTGATGGAGGAGTCTTGACTCTTCTCCTGGGGGAATCCTTCTTTCATGGAAAATCTTCCAAGTATTCCTTCTCGGGGGGAGGCTTCTCCTAGGAAACAATGCTCCATGGTTTGCTTGGAGGCATGAGTCCTAAGACTTTGTCTTGGGGCCATGCCCCTTGCATATAATTTTTTTGCCAAGTGTTCCCCCTCGGGGAAAACTTCTTTCATGTAGAATTCCCNTCTCGGGGGGAGGCTTCTCCTAGGAAACAATGCTCCATGGTTTGCTTGGAGGCATGAGTCCTAAGACTTTGTCTTGGGGCCATGCCACTTGCACATAATTTTTTTGCCAAGTGTTCCCCCTCGGGGAAAACTTCTTTCATGTAGAATTCCCCAAGTATTCAACTTTGGAGGCATGTTCCTTTTAAGAGGTGATACTCCTTTATTTATTTGGAGGCGAAAGTCCTAGGACCCTGCTTCCGGGGTCATGCCCCTTCTAGGAGGCAATGCTCCTTTATTTATTTGGAGGAAAGAGTCCTAGGACCCTGTCCCCAGTGCCATGTCCCTTCCAAGAGGCAATGTTCCTTTGTCTATTTGGGGGCAAGGATGCCCCCTCCATGAGGCGTTCTCCTGGATTTATTTGGAGGCAAGAATCTTAGGACCCTGCCCTCGGGGCCATTCCCTTTCTAGGAAGCAACGTTCTTTTGTCTATTTGGGGACAAGGATTCCCCTAGGGTCATTCCCCCTCCAGGAGGCAATGCTCATGGATTTATTTGGAGGCATGAGTCCTAGGATCCTGCTCCCGAGGCCATACCTCTTCCACAACAACACTCTTGACAAAATAAGTTTGTTTCTCAAAAATAATATTTCTTCAAATTTATTATTCCAAGGTCGAAGACATCATTTCCCTCCATATCTTTTAATTTATATGACCCGGAGCCTACTACTGACGTGATTTTGTATGGTCTCTCCCAGTTAGATCCCATATTTCCATCTGCTAGATCCCGGGTATTCTCCACTACTCTCTTGAACACTAGGTCGCCTATTTGGAATTATCAAGGCTTGATCCTTTTGTTATAGAATCTGTATATCCCTTCTTGGTACTTAGCCAATTTTAGGGAGGCCAGCTCCCTTATTTCCTCCATGAGGTCCATGTCCAAACTGAGTTGGTGATCATTGTCCCTAGCTTCAAAGGCTTGTGTTCTTATGGTAGGGAGGCCTACTTCCAGTGAGATTACTGCCTCCACTTCGTATGCAAAGGCGTAGGGTGTTTTCCACGTCAAGGTTCGAGGAGTTGTCTTGTAGGCCCAGAGGAAATTTAGGAGTTCATCCTCCCAATTTCCTTTAGCCTTTTCCAACCTTTTCTTTGATCCCATTGACGATAGTCTTGTTTGAAGACCTTGTATGTCCATTGGCTTGTGGATATGCAGGGATGGAGTAATAGTTCCAGTTTTTAGATGCTCATAAAAGACTTGAAGGGTCCGTTGTTGAACTGAGTCTCGTTATCTAATACAAGTGCACGAGGGACCCCGAATCTCGTTACTATGATCCTTCATATGAACTTCTTAGTGTTTGTGTCCCTGATATGAGTTAGCGGCTCTGCCTCGACCAATTTAGTGAAAAAATCAGTCTCAACGATCAGGAACCTCTTGTTTCCTGGGGTCCTTGGGAGTGCTCCGACAAGGTTGAGTCCCCATTGGGCAAATGGAAAAGGACTGGTTAATGGGTGTAAGTCTCCGGCAGGCTGCCTGATAAATGGAGTGAACCTCATAAGCATGCGCGTCCCTTTATTTCCACGACCATCAATACCCTTAGGTCATGATGCGATAGGCCATGGACCATTCGTCTGAGTGCCCCCCACATATGCCTTTGTGTACCGCATACCGTAGTGGCTCAACCTTGTCCTCGCAGATGCAAAGCAGGTATGGTCCGGAGAATGACTTTCAATACAACTTTTGATCCGGGGAGGCCCAAAACTTTGGAGCCCTTAACTTTATCTTTGCAGCCTCCTTGGGGCATTTTAGGAGTTCTCTTGAGATAAGGAACTTAAGTAGCGACTTCGTCTATGCTGGAGTTGGGAAGGAACTCCACAGTGATTCTTCAAGTCATGTCAGAGTTTAATGCCAAGGCCAGACATGCCAAGGCATTAGCATGGGCTTTCTTGTCTCGAGGAACTTGCTTAATATCAACTTTCTTAAACTTGTGGAGCATGGCTATCACCTCACAGTGGTAAGCTTTCATCCCAGAGATTCTCGCTTCGAACTCCCCATTGATTTGGTTAACCACCAACAAAGAATGACAATGGACTGCCAGTTCCGTGGCCCCCGCTGCATTAGCAAGCTTGAGCCTGGAGATAAGGGCCTCATACGCCGCCTCATTTTTAGAGGCCTTGAAGCCTAGTCGAATGGCTTGTTTTGTGACCAATCCTTCTGGAGTGACTAGTAGTACCCCGATTTTGGAATCCTTGTTGTTGGAGGATCCATCCACGTAGAGTTTTCAAGCGCGCACTTGGTCACCTGTGGTAGGCTCCACCTCGAGAGGAAGTGTCTCCCCCTTGGTGAACTTAGCTATTAAGTCTGCCAACACTTAACCTTTTTGGCTGTGCAAGATTTATAGTGAATATCATGTTCACCCACATCCACGACCCATTTTATTATCCTCTCGGAGAGTTCCGTCTTCCTCAGAATCATTTTCAAGGGTTGATCTGGTAGGACAGTGATTGGGTGTGCTTGAAAGTGATGCCTCAACTTTCTTGCGGCTATGACTAGGGCCAATGCGAGCTTTTTCAGGGGTAAGTACCTTGTCTTCGTGTCTAATAGAGCCTTGCTTACATAGTACACTAGCTTTTGCTCATGTTCATGCTTGTGGACCAACACCTCGCTAACATCGAACTTTCTAGAACAGATAGGTTCAGGAGGACCCTGAGGTACTCCTTGATCCCTTTAAGTGCCTCATCGCATTCNTTGCTCATGTTCATGCTTGTGGACCAACACCTCGCTAACATCGAACTTTCTAGAACAGCTAGGTTCAGGAGGACCCTGAGGTACTCCTTGATCCCTTTAAGTGCCTCATCGCATTCTTAATTCCAAGTATCTTTCTAGGACCACTTGATCGCTTCAAAGAAGGGCTTGCATTTTTTTGATGATCGAGATATAAAATGATTGAGTGTAGCCAACATTCTTGTCAGTCTTCAGACTTCCCAAACAGTCTGGGGGCTCCTGCACGTCCATGATGGATTGTATCTGCTCTGGGTTGGCTTCGACATCGGGCCGACTTACTAAATACCCTAGGAATTTCCCATAGCCAACTCCAAAGGCACACTTTGCCGCACTTACTAAATACCCCAGGGTGGGAAATATGTCTTCTAGGTCCCGCCTCTTACTCTTGACCAGTATGTCATCAATGTACACCTTTATGGTGTTCCCTATCTATCACTTGAACATCCAGTTCATGAATCTTTGGTAGGTAGCCCCTGCGTTCTTCAGTCATAACGACATGACCTTGCAACAATAAACTCCTCTTGGAGTGGTAAATATAGTCTTCTCTTGGTCAGGCGGATGGAGGGGGATCTGATGGTAATTGGTTCTAGCATCCAGGAAGCTCATGCATTCATGCCTCGTTGTGGCTTCAACCAATTGATCCACCTTCGAGAGGGAAAAGTCATCTTTGGGACAAACCTTATTCAAGTCGAGGAAGTCTATGCAAACATGTCATTTCTCGCTCTTCTTCTTTGCACAAATTGTGTTCAACAACCATTCTGAAAATTGTACCTCCCAGATGACATTGGCTTCCAAGAGCCTCTTTACTTCTTCATTTACTGCATGGGTGTGATGAGGTACCGTACACTGACGTTTTTGATTTACAGGCTTATGAGAGGGATCAACATGAATTTTATGGATAATGACACTGGGACTTATGCCCTTCATCTCTGTAGCGTCCCATGCAAATACATCCACATTCTTTCTCAAGAAATTAGTCATCTCTTCCTGTTCGATTGGGGATATGGTGGAGCTAAGCAAGAAGTATCTTTCTTTGTCTCCTTTCGCCAAGAGCACCTTTTGAAGATCCTCCACCGAGCTATCTATCAGATCAATCCGAGGCCCGTTGACGCCCAGCCGCCCAGACTGTAAGTTCTATTTATTTAGTACCTTTTCCTTGGAGGCAACCCCAGCCTTCACCGAGACATAGAAACAATTCTTTGTAGAGGCTTGGTCTCCGTAGATTTTCATTATTCCTTTCTAGGGTGGGGAACTTCAATTTCTGATGATAACTGGAATGTACTACCCCAAGTGCATGTAGCCAGGTCCGCTCTATGATTATGTTATAGGGTGAATCAGAATCGATCACCACAAACTCCATGTTGATCGCAACAGGTCCCATGATAACCGATAAGTGATCTTCCCTAAGGGTAAGGAAAATAAGTCGTCGAACTCGAGGTGGGGGGTTCTGACTTTGGTGAGATATTTGAAACCAAGGCCCGTGTATTTCAATACTTCAAGGTACATCACCTTCGAGGAGCTCTCGGAGTCTACTAAGACTCTCTTGACATCGAAATCGCCGATTCGTAAAGTTATGATCAATGCGTCCTTATGGGGGAGGACCACACTCGCCAGGTCGGCGTTGGTGAAAGTGATGCCTCCTTGATCCGTTTGGGCTTCTTGCTTGGTTAACTCCCATCTTTTTCTTCCATCTTCATTGCAAAGGCTACCCTCTTGAGATCAGACCTGAGGGTGTTGGTCGTCAGCTACTCTAATGGACAGACATGGATGACGTCAATGACATTGCCACGAACAATGACTTGATCATCGGCAGTATGTGTCTCCCTCACGCTTTCTTCTCGGTATACTCCTTGAGTTATCCCTCCTGTACCAATTTCTCTAGGAAGAACTTAAAATCCCTGTAATCTTCAGTGAGATGTCCCACGTCCCTGTGGTACGGACACCTCACATTCTGGTTCCTGGTGGACGGATCACCTTGTGTCTTGGGCGACCATTTGAAGGAAGGATCTTTTTTGATTTTGTGCAACAACTTATAAATAGGTTCCTTAAACATAGTATGTATCCCTTTGAAGGAATTCCCTAATGCAGGGACCAATCCTTTCCTGGAAGGGCCCC